TCCCTCCCTCCCTCCCTCTCTCGCTGCTGCCACGACCCCGAAACCCAGCCAGCTTTAGGACGAGTGTGAGTTCCGGGCTACCAACAGCGAAGAGCGACCACCAGCTCGAAAGCCGGACTCCGCCGTGCTTCCCCGCCTCCTCGCCCAACACCACCCAGTGCTCTCCTCCTCTTCCTCCTTCTCCTCCTCGTCCTCCTCCTCCTCGATCAGAATCATCATCATCATCATCATCCTCATCATCCTCATCCTCATCCTCATCCTCATCCTCATCATCATCATCATCATCATCAGCATCATCAGCATCATCATCGTCATAATCATCATCATCAGCATCACCATGATCATCAGCATCATCATCCTCATCATCAGCATCATCATCAGCAGCATCATCACCATCATCAGCATCATAATCGTCATCATCATCATCAGCAGCAGCATCATCATCACAGTCACATGATAATCATCACAACCACCACCACCATCACCACCACCATCATCATCATCATCATCATCATCATCATCATCATCGTCAGCATCATCATCGCCATCAGCATCATCATCATCATCGTCATCATCAGCATCATAATCACCATCAGTATCATCATCAGCATCATCAAAATCATGATCATTGCCGTCGTCAGCATCATCATCATCTGAGTTACCATCATCGCCATCATCAAACTTACTCTTACTCTTACCCTCACCATCATCATCACAACCACCACCATCATAACCATCATCATCATTATCATCGTCATCACCATCAGCATCATAATCATCATCAGCAGCAGCATCATCATAAACATGAGTAGTGCCATCGTCAGCATCATCTGCATCATCACATTTACCCTTACTCTTATCCTTATCCCTATCCATATTCTTATCCTCCTCCTCCTCCTCCTCCGCATTGGCATCATCATCACCACCACCAGAATCAGCATCATCACCATCATCATCAGCAGCAGCATCATCATCAGCAGCATCATCAGCAGCATCATCGTCATCGTCATCATCATGAGATTCCTCCTCATCATCTGCATCATCATTAACAGCAGCATCGTCGTCGCCGTCGTCCTCATCAAAATCATCAGCATCAGCGTCGTCATCATAATCATCAGCATCATCCTCATCATCAGCAGCATCATCAGCATCCTCATTTTCACCATCATCAGCATCCTGCCGTCGTCAGCATCATCATAATCATCTTAATGACCATCATCGCCATCATCAAAATCATCGTCTTCGTCATCATCCTCATCCTAGTAACAACCATAATCAGCACCAGCAGCATCATCATCCGCATCATCACCATCATCAACATCATCATCATCATCATCATCATCAGCATCATCATCATCATCATCATCATCATCATCATCGTCGTCGTCATCGTCATCATCATCGTCATCGTCATTACCATCAGCATCATCATCGACATCATCCAACCTGGCCTCATCCTAATCAGCATCTTCATCATCACCAGCATCGGCATCAGCATCATCATCATCACCACCACCAGCATCATCACCATCACCACCACCACCATAGGTATCATCATCAGCATCATCAGTATCGTCATCGGCTGCCTCATCTTCTCGCCGTCATCAGCATCGTCATAGTTTCCTTCCCCCCCTCCTCATCATCCGCATCATCCGTATAATCATCATCAGCAGCAGCATGATTATCAGCACTGTCCTCACGATCATTAGCAGTATCATCAGCATCATCAACGTCATCATCATCATCATCAGCATCATCATCATCATCAGCATCATCGTCATCACCATCCCTCGCCCTCCTGATCCTGTATGCCCATCATCATCCTCATCACCATCATCAGCATCGCCGTCATCATCAGCATCATCGTCATCACTGTCCCTCGCCCTCCTGATCCTGTATAACCTTCGTCATTATCATCATATACTCATTCTCATCATATTCATCCTACGTTTATGCTGCCATTCCACTCCCAGCCCTTCCAGACAGAGGATGTCACATCGGCATGCCGATGCGTCTTGCCACGACCACAGGGGGATTCATAACCACTCGTCACAGCCACGCTTCAGCGTGAAGGAATTTCCGTTAGAAGGCCTGGCCCAACCACTGTATGCGCAGCGGCGCGGGATGACCAGGTGCAGAAGGAAGAGTAGGAGATCGGAAGAGCGAAGGAGGAAGAGGAGGAGGAGGATGTGGAGGAGGAGAAGAGGAAGAAGGCGAAGGAGCAGAAGAAGGACGAGGGGCAGGGACAGGGGTATGGGGGAGAAGGAGGAAGATGAGGAGGAGAAGGAGAAGGACGACGACGACGACGACGAGGCCCGCCATAGGGCGGGGGCTCTCGGCTGGCCGCTGCTGCACCGCCGCCCGCCCTCCGCTCGCCGCCGACGGCCGGCCGCCGCCGTTGCCGCCGCCTGCCGCCCGCCACCGTCGGCGCCGCCGCCGACTGGCCCGCCACGGGGAGGCCCCTCCGAGGCCCGCCACGGGAGGCCTGGCTCTATGAACCCTCGGCCGGGGCCCTGGGAGATCCACTGGGCCAGGGGTTGGCGGCCACCGGCCCCCGCTCACGGGTGGTCCTCGCCGCAGCCGCGAGCGTCTGCCGCCCCGCACGACGACGACGACGACGACGACGACGACGACGACGACGACGAGCAGCACGGCGACCACCACCACGACGACGACCACGACGACGACGACGACCACGACGACGACGACCACCACCACCACCACGCCAAGTGCTAATTCCGACGACGCGGACACAGCGTAAATGCAACCAGACTTCTCGCGGAGCGAGCCGACCCAATCCGATGGGTCATCATCGTCGTCGCTGCTGCCCTGGTCGGCGGTGCCATGATCGCCAGTATCGCCGTCGTCGCCGTTCAAGAAGAGCCGCTCGCCTCGTCCATGAAGATGATCGAGGGAGCGTGCTCGCGGGCCATGACGAAGAGCTCGCGGACCATCCTCGCGGGCCGCCGAGGCGCCCGAGCTCTTCTAGCCCCTCCACCCCTGCCCATCCCCCCCTGCCCCTCCACCTCCTCCTCCTCCTCCTCCTCCTCTTCCTCCGCCTCCTCCTCTGCCTCCTCCTCTTCTTCCTCCTCCTCCTCCTCCTCCTCCTCCTCCTCCTCCTCCTCCTCCTCCTCCTCCTCCTCCTCCGCCTCCTCCTCCTCCTCCCCTCCTCCTCCTCCTCCCTCCCTCCTCCTCTCCTCCTCTCCTCCTGCTCTTCCTCCTCCCTCCTCCTCCTCCTCCTCCTCCTCCCTCCTCCTCCTCCTCCTCCTCCTCCTCCTCCTCCTCCTCCTCCTACCATTCCTACCCCTCCTACCCCTCCGTCCTCCCCCCTCCCCGTCCACGATTACCAAATACGAATACTACTCTCCTCTTTCTCCCAAAGATGGCCAGAGAATAGCCCATCCCCTCCTCGCACTGATTTTGAACACAAAATTCCGGTAGTTGCTCTTCCATGTGTTTGTTTCAATCGGAGCGTTTTCCGTGTCTCAAAACGGTGGTACCGCTGAAGCGTTGGCCTCATTTTGAGGATCGGCGCTGTGCTCCGTCGTTCAGAAAGGCGCTTTCGCCCGAGCGCGGGACATGTTTCTGGATCCTCCGAGTCCGTCTTCATCGTTGTCGCACCCCCTCTTTTCCCATCCTCTGCCCTCCCCTGGTCCTCCTGCTCCTCCTGCTCCTTCCGCTCCAGTTCCCGCTGCTGCTGCTGCTGCTGCTGCTGCTGCTGCTGCTGCTGCTGCTGCTGCTGCTGCTGCTGCTGTTCGTCCTCGTCCTCTTACTTCCTCATCCTCCTCGTCCTTCTTCTCAAAATCCTCCTCCTCCTCCTCCTCATCCTCCTCCTCTTCCTCCTCCTCCTCCTCCTCCTCCTCCGTCTCCTCGGCCTCCTCCTCCTCCTCCACCTCCTCCTCCTTCTCCTCTTCCTCCACCTCCTCCTCCGCCTCGTCCTCTTCCTCCTCTTCCTCCTCCTCCTCCTTCTCCTCCTCCTCCTCCTCCGTCTCCTCGTCCTCGTTTTCCTCCACCTCCTCCGCGTCCTCGTCCTCCTCCTCCGCCTCCTCTTCCTCCTCCTCCTCCTCCTCCTCCTCCTCCTCCTCCTCCTCCTCCTCCTCCTCCTCCTCCTGCCTGTTCCTCCTCCTCATCCTCCTCCTCATCCATCCCTTCCCCTTATAAATAACTTCTCCCTGTCACACCCCGAGGCAAGTTTTTAGGGCGGGCCGGGCGTTTCGCCTGAAACTTCCTCACCATTTTCCCCAATCAGCGCTTGCACTGAAGGGGTCCTAGCGGAACTTGAAGAATTTGGCGAAAGTTCCCCGCCGATTTTGGTGGCAGGCTGGGTTCCTGGGTTCCCGAGTTCCCGGTTCTGGGTTCCCGGGTTCCCGGTTCCGGGTTCCCGGGTTCCCGGTTCCGGGTCCCGGGCCGATTTCGGAGGGCGGCGAGGTTCCCGGGTTCCTGAGTTCCTGGTCGATCTTCTTATAGATCGGTCTCACCATCGATCTCATTACCGACTTCTCGATCGATCTCACCATCGATCTCACAAGCAATCTCACTATCAATATCACAAGCGATCTCACTAGAGATTGCATGAGCGATCTCGCGATCGATCTCACTATCTCATTGAATCGATTTCACTCTCGGTCTCACGATCGACCTTACAATCGTCCTCACTGTCGATTCCACGATCGACCTCATTATCGATCTCACAACCGATCTAAAGATCCATAGCATCAATTTTCAGATCATCCACTGATTGGGTTTTCTCTGGTGTAATATGACCCTGAAGCTTCAAAAGTGAGAACCGTTTCACAGATGCAGGGCGGGTCGTTTTCAAAATGTGGCTCTCGCCTTAGCGCCGTGCACATTCGTTTTTTAAAGTGCGCAAGAGTTTCACGGATTGAGGGCGTGTCGTTTGCTCTCGCCTTAGCGCCGCGCAGATTCGTTTACAAAATTTCCAAGAATTTCACGGATTGAGGGCGGGTGGCTTTCAAAATGTGGCTCTCGCCTCAGCGCCGCGCACATTCATTTTCAAAGTTCGCAAGAGCTTCACGGATTAAGGGCGGGTGGTTTGCTCTCGCCTTAGCGCCGCGCAGATTCGCTTTCAAGATTTGCAAGAGTTTCACGGATTGAGGGCGGGTTGTTCTCAAAATGTGGCTCTTGCTTTAGCGCCGCGCACATTCGTTTTCAAAATGTGCAAGAGTTTCACGGATTGAGGGCGGGTGGTTTTCAAAATGCGGCTCTTGCCTTAGCGCCGCGCGTTTTCAAAATATGCAAGAGTTTCACGGATTGAGGGCGGGTGGCTTTCAAAATGTGGCTCTCGCCTCAGCGCCGCGCACATTCGTTTTCAAAGTTCGCAAGAGTTTCACGGATCGAGGGCGGGTGGTTTGCTCTCGCCTTAGCGCCGCGCAGATTCGGTTTCAAAATGTCCAAGAGCTTCACGGATTGAGGGCGGGTGGTTTTCAAAATGTGGCCCTTGCCTTAGCGCCGCGCGTTTTCAAAATATGCAAGAGTTTCACGGATTGAGGGCGGGTGGTTTTCAAAATGTGTCTTTCGCCTCAGCGCCGCGCACATTCGTTTTCAAAGTTCGCAAGAGTTTCACGGATTGAGGGCGGGTCGTTTGCTCTCGCCTTAGCGCCGCGCAGATTCGTTTTCAAAATTTGCAAGAGTTTCACTGATTAAAGGCGGGTGGTTTTCAAAATGTGGTTATCGCCTTAGCGCCGCGCGCATTTTTGATAAACAATTACAAGCGTTGCACGGACTCCCATGATCGACGTACCAGAAATTGTGTTTTGAAAGGGTTCATGATGTTCAGGGCGCAACAGTTACGATGATTCGCGGAGTTGAGGTCCGAAGAATGGCGTTCTCGTACGATTCAGGATCGTCAAAACGCAAGGGCCAGGTTCATCCGTGGCGTTGGGATACAAAGAACAATGTGTTGGCATGCTTCACGGTCTTCAAACGGTTGTCTTCCAACGAGACAGGTCCCTCTGTGGAAATGAACCGCTGTAGGGGCCTATGAAGAGGAAGCCCGGGGGAGGGTTTATTCCAACATCGTTGGTAACTCTTGGATTCACACTGAACCTCCTTCTCCTACTCCTCCTCCTCCTCACCCTCCTCCTCCTCCTCCTCCTCCTCCTCCTCCTCCTCCTCTTCCTCCTCCTCCTCCTCCTCCTCCTCCTCCTCCTCCTCCTCCTCCGCCTCCTCCTCCTCCTCCTCCTGCTCTTCCTCCTCCTCCTCCTCCTCCCCCTCCTCCTCCTCCGCAGCCTAATCCTCATCCTCCTGCTCCTCCTCCGTCTCCTCCGCCTTCTCTCCCTCCTCCTATGCATGCAGCTCCACTATTCCGATTGCACACAACACGCTGCGTTTTCAGAGGAGCTCCAGGTCCGCTACGACACGCGTCCGTGGATAGAGAAAAATCAGCATCATGGGAAGAGATGGGTGGGAAGGGTGGGCTGTCAGATATGGCGCAAGCGCACCTAGATTGTCATCCCCCCTCTCCCTCCCCCCCTCCCCCCCCCAGACCCCTCTGGAGACCCTGTGAATGCAGCAAAGCAGTCAGAGTCCTCCTCCCCCTCCCATCCCCTGCTCCCCCATCCTGCGACAGCCTCGCTGCGGCCGACCCCCCCCCTCGGCGAAAGCCGCTGGGGAGCGCCCCCATGCACGAAAGATGCGGAGGGGGAAGGACCAGGAGGAGGAGGAAGAGGAGGAGAAGAGGGAGGAGGAGGAGGAGAATGGGAAGGAGGAGGAGTAGGAGGAGGTGGAGGCGGAGGAGTAGGCGGAGGAGGAGGAGGAGGAGGAGGAGGTGGAGGTGGAGGAGGAGGACGAGGAGGAGGAGGCTGTCGACGGCGACCTTCGTCTCGGAGGTGCCTCGGAGTCTTCCGAGGATGCTGCTGGCCAGGGGAGCAGGAGCACGCCAGGCTGCGGGCCGCTGTCCTGCCTGCCATTTTACTGGGGCTCCCCCAAAACCGCGTGGTGACGGACCCCAACGATTAAGTCGGGCCTGTCCCCCTACAGGGGGATTTTCGAGGAAAAAATATAATTATAGCCGGAGTGCAGTATCCCCAAACGGGGTTTTTAAACCCACTGCGGCTTCCAAGGTCGATTGCTGACCCGTCCAGTGCAGGCTAGCATGGCACGTTAGAACATGCCTCCTCGTCCTCGTCCTCCCCCACCTCCTCTTCATCCCGAACGGCATCTCGGAGCCAAGAGTTGCGAGGATGTCTCCAGCGTAACGAGCTGGATCATCTCGCGCGCGGCATCTCGGACCCCAGCCTTGCGACGATGTCTCGGGCGAAACGTGCTGCAAGGAAGCCTCAGGCGAAACGGGCCGGACCACCACGAGCGCGGCGTCTCAGAGCTCCGAGTTGCGGGGGCCTCCTGTGGCCTCCTGGACCCCACCTGAGGCTTCCTGAAGCCTCTTGGGGCTCCCAGGGGGGGATATCTAACATGTGGCCGTCGGGGCCCCCCAAAATGGGAGGAGGGCCACAAGAGCAGGAAAACTCAACGAATCGGCACCGGATGCGTATTCACTTGACACGTGCTGATAGGGGGCCTCCTGGGGCCTCCTGGGAGCCTCCTGGGAATCTCCTGGGGACCCCTGGGGCCTGTCCTGGGCGTCTTGCGGCCTCCTGAAGCTCCCTGGGGCCTCCTGGGGCTCCCAGGGGGGATGTGTAACATGTGGTCTTCTGGGCCCCCAGGCTGGACCACCTCTTGGGCGGCATCTGGGAGCTCAGTTGCGAGAATGTCTTGTGCGAAACGGGCCGGACCACCTTGCGCACGGCATCTCAGAGCTCAGAGTTGCGAGGATGTCTCAGGCGAGACGGGCCGGACCACCTCGCGCAGGGCATCTCAGCCCACAATTGCGAGGATGTATCAGGCGAAACGGGCCGGATCACATCGCAAGCGGCATCTCGGAGCCCGGAGTTGCGAGGATGTCTCAGGCGAAACGGGCCGGACCACCTCTCGCACGG